CTGCCCTTGCATCCCTCCTGCCCTGGCGCCGTTGCATCCCCCCCTCGCCCCCCCGTCTTCGGGTCCTTCCCTCTTCTCCCCCCATCCTCTCCGGGTCCACCGGTGCGGGGGCTGCCCACGGAGCTCCGCCGGGCATCCCCCCCACCCCGTTCTCCCGGGCACCGGCTGCCCTTGCATCCCTCCTGCCCTGGGGCCGTTGCATCCCTCCCTCGTCCCCCCCGTCTCGGGGTCCTTCCCTCTTCTCCCCCCATCCCCTCCGGGCCCACCGGTGCGGGGGCTGCCCACGGGGGTCCGCCGGGCATCCCCCCCACCCCGTTCTCCCGGTGAAGGGGGACGCGCGGTTGGGGTGACCGGGCCGTTCCCTGCCGCCTCCCCCCTGCAGGCTTCTCCTCCCGGGCGCGGAGCCGCTTCTCCCGCAGGCAGGGACCATGCCTCCGAAATTCAAGCGGCACCTGAACGACGACGAGGTGACGGGCTCGGTGAAGAGCGAGCGGGTGAGTTACCGACGGGCCCGCGGGGGGACCGGCCTGTCCCTTCCTCCCTCCCTCCGGTGGCCGGAACGGGGCCGTTCCTCATGGCGGGGGTGCCCGGGGGTAGGTGCCCGCAGAGTTGCCGCATGGCGTTAGCCACCGGGCCGGTGCACGGCAAGGTACGGCTGCGTTAGCCAAAGGGGCTTGCACAGCCTTCGTGATGACATCCCGTTACCGAGGGGACTGTCCCTGCAGTGAACCCAGCCTGTGTATTTTAAAACAAACCCCGTTAGGGAACGGGGCTGGTTTGAGAACCTGTTTCCAGTTCCTTCAGGCTGGTCTGAAGGTCCTGGTGTGCTCCAAGTTCCTCCCTCTCCGCAGAGCTCAGCCTGGGCACGTCGTGGCTTTCCTCGGTCAAAGGACTCGTGTGAAGTTACCCTGCCCTTTACAGCTGATTTTTTTTCTCCTGTCACCAAGGTCCCCTGGCGTTTCAGGCTTTGAAACGTGGGTCAGAGTGGTGCAGTTGCCTGTTTTAGACAAAGTGGATTTAACCTGATGGTTTTTTGTCCTGGGGTCATACCGTGCTGAAGCTGAGTTTAGGCTGTAGTCTAAAAATGTTGCTCCGGCTCAGGGGAGCTGTCAGTGAGATGAGGATCCTGTGTTGCCGAGGGTGGTTCGCTCATCCCTTGAGGGAGGCAATGGCTGAACCTCTTGCAAGGTCTCATGGCTTGCCTAAGTTGATTGAGCAAGTGTGACAAGGATGGAAATGTAGGTAAGCTTCAAAATAAGAGCACTGCGCTTGCAGGTGGGAGCCCAAATTTGTGCGCAGCAGCTGTTGGTACCAGAAGGCCCATCCAATGTGTTCCCCAGCCCACAGATTTAGGGTGCCAGTTCCCCTTCTTGGTTATTTTTGACCCGAAGTAGATGTTACTGGGAGCCCTCAGCTCGATTGTAAAATTTGTGCTGCCCTGGTATGAGAAATGAACTCTAATAATGTCTTTGTCAGAAACTTTCAGGCTTAAGTGGGATTGTGGGGTTCCTTTTAAAAATCAGCCTTTGGGTCACCTGACGAGGTGTAGTAGAACAGCAAATCTGAGCCCAGGAGGAGCCCTTTGGCACGAAGCAATGGAGCTACTGGATGGCTCTGCTTTCCAGCCCAGTCGGGGCTTTGGAGGGGCCGACCCCTCTGGACGTGCTGTGCAGGGAGCCCACTGTGTTTCCTTGCAGTTGCCCTTCTTACACCCACTGCCATCAGATGGCTGGAGAAACCACATCCTCCAAATGGGGAGTGGATCTGACTTCCCTCACGGATGGGATACCCCAGGGCGATGCCAGTGGTTTTTTTGAGCAGCTGCTGCTGACCCATTGCAGACCTTGGGATTGTCCCTTGAGCAGAGAGGGGTTCCTTCCTCCCACAGCTGGCCTGCACAGGGGCTCTGCCTGCTGCTTTTCAGAGCAGGGTTCAACATGCTGATGCAGTGGTTGCTTCTGCATCGTAGGGAGTTGTACTGGTTCCTAGAAGTGGGATCTGAACCTGCGCAGGCAGCTGGCCAGTGATGCAAATCCAGTTTGGGTCAGTGGCAGAGGTGTAGTTATCCCAGTTCAGGGCTGCAGAGCTGTGGATGGGTCTGTGCCGCACTGAGCTAGCAAACACCGCTGAGGTGATGATAGTGGCACGGAGACATCCAGCTTGGCCCCTGATCACAAGCAGAGAGAAACAGCATGGCTTCCAACACCTGAAAAGTACCATTTCTGCTCTCCAAAGGAGGGCTGGCATGTAACCTGTGGTTGGAGGATGCTGAGTGTGTCTGAAGGGCTGGAAATGTGTGTGTGAAATGGTGGTTGCTAACTGACGAGGTGGTTTGGCTTTTTTTTTTTCCCTGTGTTTGCAGAGGAACCTGTTGGAGGAAGACTCGGATGAAGAGGAAGACTTTTTCTTGTGAGTTTCTGAATGGCTGCTGTAAGGAACGCAATGTCTTAACTGCCTACATCTCTGAGAGTGGAGGCGTCAAATGCCAAAAACTGCTCCCTGCCACATAGGTGGTGGCTTAGGAATCAGAACCTGTGATTCCTTTGAGATGATGTCCCAGAGCCTTGGCATCAAGCGTGAATTAAGACTTAATAGGTGTGACCTTTATAAGAGCGGGGTGTCCATGTATCCTAAGACGTGGGAGGGACTGATGGGAGGTATGAGAACAATCCTCCATCCAAAAGGCATTGATGCTCTCTTGCATGTCTTTTGAGTCTGTTTTAAAAACATGTTTTTGTTTTATCTTCTGTCCTGATGGCTCTCTTTTCTGCCTGCAGGAGAGGCCCTTCTGGACCAAGATTTGGACCAAGAAATGACAAGATCAGGCAGTAAGTCGTTGTTCCTCAGTGTCACACAGATAGTATATTATTATGGCACTAAGAGCTGCTGCTCTCTGACTGGAGTGTTTCTGTACTTGCTTTCTTCTAATTGTCATTTCCTACCTTACATGTCCACAGCTAAGGAAAATCTCAAATTTGATTCAAGCTGTCAAGAAATTGCGTGTTGACAGAGGTGAAGGGATAGGATTGTATCACAGTAGCTTAGTGGAGTTTCTAAATCCCTTGCCGTATTCCAGTAGTGACCTATTCCCTGCTCTTATGAGGCTTTTTCTAGAGCATTAACCCCGAATTTTAACCTTTGCTAGCACCACTTTTTATTGTTTTGTTGCTTTTTTATTAATTCTGTAATTTGCTCCTGAATGTTTCAAGGAAGCAAGTGGTCAGGAACACACCAGGACCATGGTTTTTTTGGGGGCAGTGGCTCGTCCTCTGGCCTCTTCTTCTCCAGATAAAAATCTGATACAGGTGACCTGGAGATGAGCAGTGACTCAGTGGGGTCAAAGCAGCTGGAAAACAGGAAGCCATTACAGCTGGAGGAGGACAGGGCAAGAAGGAAGGAGTGAACACTCTGAATCCTTCTCCCATCGAGTCATTTCCTGGATGGTGCTTGTTGTGGGCTCCAGTTTGTCTTGTCCTTCCCAATGAGGAATGCGATAGTGATACTTAATAGAAAGGGGGGTGATGTTCACAAGACCTACTTGTCTTCTTTTGCTGACCTCTGCAGAGCCAGAACAGGGATCTGTGCAGGGACTGATGGACAGGCATTATTCAGGATGAGCTTTCTTGTGTGCAGCCTGAGTGTTGCTCTTCGTTAGGGATTTTTTTTTCGTGCTGGGAAGAAGCCAGCGAAGCTCTGAGATGACTCATTGCCAACGTCAGCATTAGGCAGTGCTTGCTTGTGTGCCTGCTTGCCACGTTATTTTGAGGGGCGAAGTGCACCTGAGTTTCACAGGAGGCAGCACGTTGGTCACTGCACCCTAGGTTTTTGGGGTGTGTGTGTTCTCTCCAGGGTATGAGGATGCTGGTGGTAGAGGCTCACTGATCCTTACAGTAAGCCAGTGTGGATAAAGCCTCCCTTCTAGGGCAGTGCCACACTGGCCTGGAGTGGATGGGAAGGGTGAGAATCAGTTTTATGAGAGGGGTCTCGCCCCCATAAAAAGGTGGAGAGGGGTTGGTGTCTACCTCTTCATCCTCCTCTGTTGGAAAGGAATTACAGGGCATCTTCTGCCTTCCCAGCGTGATGGGGGGAAAACAGGAGCTCTTTTCTTCCCACTCTCTTGGCCAGGCAGAAAGGAGCAGAGGCTTAGGTAAAGGACAGCAGTGCAGCTTTGAAGCTGAAGAAAAATGAAAGAAGAATTCACCTAGGAGCTGGTTGGTTCACAGGTGTGATGTGACTAAGGCCCAACACATGGGAAGCTTGCCCATTGCCAGAGATCACATGTTTAGTAGACGTGGTATGGGATATGTCCCTTCTGGTAGCAAGTGGCTACATCTATCCAATATCTAGAACATCTGTTATAAAATAGTATCTATTTTCTGCTCTCATCGATGTTGATTGCTTTGTTTAATAAGCACTTACAGTGTGCAGTTGTCATTTCTTGTCCTTATATAAGCTTATTATTAAGTTTCTGATCAGACCAGCCCTCCTGCTGGATGGATTGATGCCTGTTCTCTTTAATGATGTGGTTCTCTCTGGTTTCAACAGAGGAGGAAAAGGAGGGTTGGGTTGCCGCTGAAACACTGTAAGGAAAAGACATTTTAAGGAGGAATTTGAGCATTTGGAGAGCTCAGACATAGCTGGGCAAAGCTAGAGAG